AGGGCAGCAAACCCTGGTCTCAGGCCACCTTGAATTTAGCTTGAAAAAGTGTCTGTTTTAACAAAAGCCTTGTCACAGAGACACCTCAGGACCCTTGCTTCGCATATCTTCATTTTTGAGGTGGCCTGAACATATAGTTTCGGGCAGCGAGCCTCTGGTCCCAGGCCACTTCGAATTTTGGTGCATTGTTTGGCTTTCGCTTCATCTGAATGTGGATGGAATTATCTATGTGTGAAGTCGGTCGGGGGTCGGGGGGGGGGTGGCCCGAGAAAGGTATACGTAAACTCTTGGAGGTGATGTTTTAGTTATTTTGGAGCGGGTGGTGATGCAAGAGTGCAGTTGTTGCTTTTGCATGGTTACCTATGTGTGGGCAGAACAAGACATGAAGCAGATTTGACACGCGGCCGCCAGCGGCGGCGCGAGCTCATTTGATTGCTTCGACGCGCAGTTGTCGAGAAAGGGAAGCGCTGGCTTTCGTTTTGCAGCTTCTCAGGTTTGTTTCATCTTCGAACGCGAGGCCAAAAATCTGCTCTTAGGTGCAGCATGTGATTTCCAAAGAGCAGTTCTTGATGTCGTCTCTCCAAGGGTGTGTGTGTGTGTGTATTTTTTTGTTAAATTTGCCTTTTGTAGTCTTTGTTTGGATTTTCGCCACATTGTGTGTGTGTTGAGCGGTGTAAACGAGAACAGTATAAAATGCAAACGAAGTTGCTTACTATTCGAACGGCAACACAAATTCGGAAGCAATCACTTGGTAAATCACAAAAAAAAATTGCGGCCGAAACAAGCGAAAAACGAGAACAACAACGATGCAGAAGGACACAAAATGGATGCCACAGTGGTTAAGTGCAATTCAACAGTAACAATCAATGTAAAGGTGCCGTCCGACTTTGTTGATGAATGTAACAAGACGGGAAGATTAATCATGATTTGTTGGAAAGTGCACGATTGCTGTATAGCACAGTTCGTATCCCACTCTCTAGCAAAAAACACATTCTTTGAGGATACGAGGATACTATGATTTCAGGGTGTTTCACCCTTGCCTGGTATCAAAGCAGGCTGAGTGTGGGTATTTAGTTTTAAGTATTATATATAGGCACCTTAATTTATTCCGCCCTAACACAGCGGACGTAACTTGATCCGTTGATTTCTCCTCTTCGCAAGAAAAAGTTCACAGGAGATCCTTCTGAGTTATGTTTTTTTTCCATAGGGAGAATAACCCCCTGGCCCAATGGGTTTTGGTCTATTTCCCCGCACCGTCCATGGGGTCGGACGGGTGAGCTGCACAGCTCCAGCCGACGTTTTTGGCTCGAACTCGTCCTCGGCTCGACCGACGGAGGCCTTTCCTGGAAGCCTTGGGCCTTTGCAACTCACCGGAGGCCACGGCGACGTCCACCGTCACCACCGTCGACCGTCGTCTTCTGCCGTTTTGACGGAAGAAGGATGAAGAAGGGGACAACGACAACGACAACTTCCATCGTCTTCCGGAAGACACTCATCCGGTATTTGACACACTTGATAGCTGTGACACATGAACTTCCGGTATTTGACACACTTCTTGTTTTCGTGTTAACAGTCATTCTTCTTCAGCTGTAAGCTCGAGCTGCACAAAACACTGAGGGTGACTGAGGGCTTGCCGTCCAGAAGAATCTGTCACTGTCTCCAAACACCCCACTTCATATCATGGACGTTTATCAACCACACCTGATGTTTGGAAGTCCTGCTGTTGAGTGGAATTCGGGGGGACTCAGGGATTCAGGCAGAGCCTCTATGGTCCGCCCACAGGACTTCCTCCAGTTGGTCTCCACGGCCGGTTGGGCCGTGGGCGGTGAGGGGCGGCGAGACGTGCAAAAGCGTCGGGTGGGCAGCCCCAGGAGACCGAGAAAGGGTGGATGGGAAGCCGCGGGAGACCGTTATATTGAGAGATTTGACCGATTTGAAAACCAAATGTATGGAGCAAACATAGGAAAGTCCTGGGTACGAGGACTCGACCCCAGACAAAGAAAAACATAATACATCTCGACCCCCGCAGTAAAACACTCACATATTGGCCCAAGTTTTCCCCACCTGCCAGGTGAGGGTCTCTTGATTTTGTATATCTCAGTCTCAGTCTCAGGTTCGTCACCGGTCACCGCCAGCACCACCATGATGGAGAATATACAAGGTCGTCGTCTTGATCATGATCGGTGTCAGGCGTCCAACGGTCCTATCTTTTAGATTGATCTCCGAACTGTAGGGCATTTCCAGGGCCTGTCACGAAGAGTTTCTGCAACAGTTCAAGATAGGTCTTCGGTGTCCCGTCGCACCCACGGGGTATGACATAACAAACCTCCCTAGGTGGGAATGATGGCCAAGAGGATTCTGGATTTGGGCCGCGTTGCCTGGCTTCGGAAGGCGGGCGACGAACATGAACGAACGGAGCGAACTGGTACCTCTGACTCTGCCATGAGCGGATCTCTTTGATCGCATCAAACCGGAAAGTTGATGTGGATTGGTTTTGTTTTCAGGGTCTGTAGTGTTCCAGATTGCACATGCGTGCAGCACTAGTGTCAGCTAGCATCAAAGGATCAACTAGCATCAAGGTTTGTCGTTTCCTTTGTTTGTTCAGGCGCTTCAAGTCCAGTTTGCGAAGTCCTGGAACACATGTTAACAATAATAGCAATACCAACCTCGATGATTCCCAACATGGCAAACATAACTTTGGAAACTGGTCGAAGATAGTTTAGACCAGTTGTTAGAGCTTCTTGCACTCTGAACGTATTCAGAGTTTCGAGGGTGTGGAAAGCGGAAACATGATGAAACTTTGTACTGTAAAACCATGAGCAGTTTAAAACCATTTGTTCAGATTCATTGTGTTTGAGAAAACGAGTGGCTGCCCGGAGATCTATCAATACAAATTCTTAATATTCTTGTGTGCTGCCAGGTCTCGAAAAACAGGTCGTCGTATGTGCCGTTGCCTCCTAGGAGTTGCACCTTGATGACGCATCCTTGACCGAATACATCAGCAAGGCGAGAAGGTCAACTTCAATCCTCTCGGTTTGTTGTTTCATCCAGTAGTTTGCAAAAAAAGACACTGACTGAGCAAATATAACGTCATCCACATAGTTTTACTAACTTTCAGAAACCGACAACAGGACATATGGTGATGGATTTTTCAACCAGATTCCCTCACACAGAAATTGGTGCAATGAGGCTGTGACGCCAGAGAACATGGCCATCACTGCCGGTGCAGCAAAGAAACCTGCACGAGGTGAGAACCGAAATGCATCATCAAGCAGCGAAGACATGGATGCTTTTTCGGGGTGTTTGATGGAGTTTTTTTGGACTGGGATTGTGGTGGGGCCATCAACCAATCAGCTGCCCAAATTTGAATAGTGAATTAGTTAATGAAGTTTCTACGGTAGTTCAGTCAGGGAACTACTGTACTGTAATTAGTGTTGTACCCGGATGTGTGGATAAAGACCTTCCGGAGATCTAGTTGTCAATTTTCATTGCGCGAGGAGGCTCAAGACCATTGGGCGATTTTATTCTTGACATGTCTGGCCTTATCTTTGAGTTATTTTTTCCAGTCCGCAGACCTGTTGCAATCAAACTTGCCCGGTGCTTCCTAGTTCAACAACATTCGTCAGGTAATTCGTTCTTGTCTTGGATTGAGGTCTCAGCCCAGCCTACAATTCCTCCAAAAAAGAAGGATGTACTGCAAGAGCCTGGATTGGGAAAATAGCACATGAAACATCATGAAACAACAAGCATTGCTTTGAGGCCTACCCCGTACACGTTGGAATATGTTTGACTTTTGCTCTGAAACTCAACTCAACTCGCGGTTGTTCTACTATTTTTTAAGTCAACATTGCGAGACACCCAGACCTCCGGTAGTCTTGTGGCTGCAATTACTATACACACGCCCGAAAACTAACATGGACCCTGAAAACCACTGGTTGGTAGAGGAAAACAGTCTTCCAGGTTACCATTGTCAGGGTCTAGGTTAGCTTTCGGGAGTGTAAACATTTGCCCAGACTAGTGCTGCTTTTGGCTTGCAGCGTCACTTTGCGCACTTTGTCCCAGATCCTACGCCCACCTTGTCGCAGGCGGTGCTCATCGCTCTGCGATGTTGTGCTGTGCGTGGTGTGCTGGAGAAAAAATAGTGCTGAGCACTTTTGAGCCTTCAATTGTTTGTGTGCATCTCAAAAGAAGGATTCCCCAACCAGTGGGTTGTGGTTGCTGTTCTTTTCTACCACGAGTTTGGGCAAATCTAACTATACATATTCTATATAGCTTGCCACGAGAGCAGAATGGATTGCACTTTCCTCCAGAGGGCATAGTCGGTGAGGGCTGCATTTAGGAAAAGGGTGGTTGGGGGATCTATTGGGATGTTTGTTCCTTCTGGGCTGGGTGCTTGATTGAAATCCAGCCGATGTTTTTGGTACCTTTTTGTATCCTTTTGTTGTGTAGTTTGTTGATTGCCTAGGTTGTGATGCACCTAAGATCACCTAAGGGTTCTGGCATAAGAATGCATTCCATTTGATATACAATATTTGATGAGGTTCGGTTGGGTTTGCATGTGTGCAAGGTGAATCTCCCAAATCATTGCCAGCAACCATGGATTTGCCACCAAAAGACATCCAGGGTCTTTTGACCCACACTGTTTGAGTTGATCGTTTCTGGTGCCCAGTGGCCTGCCTTGATCTACCTTGAAAGCTTCTCAGCCAGACGCCAGACATCCCTCAACCAACGACGCCAGACATCGCCCCGCAGGTGCTCGAGGAAATCCTTTGGGCCACCGAAGAACCGCCACCCATGCGATCGAAGTCAGGCCTTCGATCGATCGTCCGTCGTCGATGACGAGCGATCGAGCGATGACGAATTCGAGCGAACGATGGACTCGTCGAGTCGACCATCGAGCGTTGGTCATGTTGGAAAGAGTTTGATAGAGTTTCTGGAAAAGGGTGGAGGTTGGGGTAAAAAGGTGGTTGATGTGTTTGTTATGAATATTCTTTTTTAGTTTTATCTTTACATACCTCTTTTGCATTCTTGTTCTGCCATCCGTATCATTGATGAACATATGTGGGTGGGCTCCCTTAGACTTGGGACCTTCATGAAAATGGTGCAAAGTGTCCCTTTGCTGCAATTTGCAGGGGAAGATGTCTCCGAATATCAACGTTCAATGTGCGTTATGTTCATAATATACGTAATGCTTAGGCCGGTGCACCTATGGACATGCAGGTGCCTATGCATTGAACCGTTGAATGCAGGGGATGTTCAAGGGGTTGGTCATATGCCCGGTGATATGAACAAGCATATCTCGCACCTGTCGGATTAGGCAGCAGAATGTGGGGAAGTGATGGAAAGGATTTGGACCTGTGATCAATGGAGGTGGGCATGACAATGATACCTCCAGATGCCCGGTTAGACTCCGAGATAGATATGTTCAAGTTTTGGATGGTCTCTAGTGACTTAGAGTATGCTGTGCATCATATATATATATATTTTTAATGATATTATGTTTGTGTTTTTGTTGTAATGCACCCATCCGATCCAGTTTGGCACAAGACCTTTTCGTCTGTCTTGAGAACCCGCAGGTTGTCTGCATATCCTGAAGCTGGAAGAAGCACAAGCTGAGCTTCAGTTCTGGCTCAGGCTGAGCTATTGAAATAACAAGAGTGTACAGCCAGGAGGGGTGTGAATATTATGAGTAGTATATATTTATGCAATTACTAAACTGAACAGAACAAAAATATGCAATCTCTTATCATGTGGTTGTATCCTGTACTGGAGCTGTCACCATAGTCCTATGAGTCCTACGTGATGTTGGCCGTTGGTCTGGCCCTAGCTATGGGGGTACTCCTTGTTGCAGCCCGGCCCTGTTTGCCTGGTTGTCAAGCTGTTGGGAATCTACTTCTACAAGTAAGTTTATTCTTGGGTGCTACCCATAGTTGTTACTTTGCTGTATCAAAAGGAAGTTACTTCATTAATAACTTTGACTATTGGCCAATTCTTGACAGGGTGTCACCAAGCCCATACAGAATGACTTTGGACATCTGAAAACACATCTTAAAATGCGAATGTTTGAACGGGATGTTTACTCCGGCACTGTCTCAACTCCCTGTCATGTTCCGATCGATCGATATGTACAAAGGTTTTGGGCCCCTGGTACAATTGCTTGGAGGTTTCTCTGTTGATTTCCACTCATGTCCATTCAAAAGGGATCTCCTCGGTGGTATTCGACCACCCCTGTCCCATCGAACCTCAGGAGGTGGGCCAGGAGCCCGCCGTTCCTCGAATCCATCCGACCCGACGGCCGGTTTTCACCGGACGGGGAGGCGTTTGCTACGTGACCGGTTGGACCAACAACGCAAGCGGATTTTGGCGCAGGGCCAGGCGGATTGGGGGACCGTGGACCCAGGCCAAATGGGCCAGCAGTTTGGGGAGGAATTTGTTTGGAGGGAGGGATGAGTGGCGAGGATGAATTGCTTTGTTGAGTTGAAGAACATGGGATTGATTGAGGTATCATTTTCTTGGGACTACAAAGGAAGTGCGGCATTGTTTTGCATGCTGTTGATGTGTGTAATTTAGAGAAGTTGTATATACTGTAGTTGTTCACACCTTTTGTTTTAGATGAGTTGAGCTCATATTCCCAGGTCTGTTCAGTGGTGGCTTTGCTAGCTGGTCACAGCTAGTTGTGATACTTTCACGCGCACAGCCATGCAGAGAAAGTTGTCCTCAGATCCAATGAGAAGGTTGCCCGTCTTCTTAAGCATCTCTGCTGAACGCTTCAAAGTTGCTTCAAATTTGGACCTTGTATTTTGTTGTTTGCTATCCAGGCAGCAGGAAACTACTGTCAAGTATGTGTATTTGTACAGTGTAATATGCACGCAGCTGTTTAAAGGGCTATTGAGCAGGTTTTGCTTGTACCCAACACTATGGCCCGATGACACTCACGTCACACTTTGGCCCGTAGTGTTGTCAGCAAAGCAAACACCATAGAAGCTAGCGGAAGCCACATGGTGCAGCCCCTTGACCTTCACAAAATAACAATAACAATAATCTAATAATAGCAACAAAGTTAATAGTCATCATCATCCCTTGTTGAATCGCAAGCGTTCAGTTTCCTCAACCCAACCTGCATTCAGTCGCTCATTGAGAAAACTTGAAGGCAAGGCTTATCTCACGCGGCCTCAGCCTTAATGAGGTGTTTCGTTGTCAAGTAGAACAAAGACCGCGCAAGAATCAGAATCCAGACTTCCCACCTTTCGCGGCTTAAAGCAACCAGCCCAAAACTCGCCATCGACACCGCCGCCTGCAACCGGCGCCGGCACCTTCCATGGCCTCGTCTTCGGCCGTGCCGGCGGGTTTGATCGTGGTGAAGGTATGGCTTCGGAGGCCAACGCATGGGTGGCTTCGACCGAATGTGGTTATGGTCCATATATGTCCAGATAATTGATATATACATCTATAATTGTTATTGTTTCACCGTGCTTTTAACCCCCTTCATTGTTTTTCGGTATGGGATGAATGATTGTTCGCAGGGTTTCATAGATGTACCTCGTGTGCTTAGGTGGGGCTGTTGAAAGCACATCACGCAGACGGTGGTGGCCAGTTGTACAGTGGTCCCAATAGTTCCCAATATATATATATATTATAGATATAGACAATGTCCAGAACATGCCATTCATTTCATTTCATTTCTCTCCATTTGGGGTTCACTATGGTAACCTTCTGATGCTGTAAAAGTGTTCATGTTTTGTAAACGTAGTTCTGGTACACTGGTTCAGTAGCAAACTCTATGTTCCCGTTTTGTAAAGGTTGATGTTTAGACACGGAGCTTCCCCGGTGCAGGGGTTCACCCACAGTTGGACCAGACACCAAGAACAACGTTTCAATTCCGAATTTTGGATCCGTCGTGGAGGTGGCGCTGGGTTTGGCAACTTGCAATGATTCTAAAGATGCTGAAAACTTCAATCTTGATTGAGCTCTTTAAAGACTTACTGAACAATTTGGGTATGGCCCAAGGGCGAACCATTTGAAAGCTTACTGTTCTTCCATGATGGCCAGCTCCCTCAGTAGCTTCAGCATGGGGTCCAGGCCTTGCCCCCCTTAGCTTTCAGTTTGTGTTGAGCTTTTCGTGCTACGTCCTACGTCCTACTTGGCGGTGCCTGCGTGCCGACATGCCAGTCCTTTTGAGCAGCATGCGCAGGAACAGCCCCAGTGAGTTGTGAGCCACCCGAAGAGCAGCGTGTAGCGCTTTGCCAGGCTGGTTCTTCAAAAACCAGAGAGTGGTGGTGGTTGGGCTATGGTCAAAAGCTGCCCGTGCCCAGCGGCAGTTTGAGACATTTGTATGACAAGGCACAGCAGCCAAGCACTGGCATTACTTGACACACCGCACGCCTATTTCATGCCGAACCAACATCTTGGCAGTGAATGTGTGGTTTGGCATTTTCCATTCTTGTCCTGGTCCATGAAGACCAGCTGCAGCTGCCGCCGCCGCCATTATAACATCTGCGAAGGTGGGGTACCTTAAATGTACAGGCACATAATTGTACCCCAAGAATATCTATGGCCTTCTTCCATCAAAGACATGTACCAGTTCCAAGGGGCCTTCCCAATTCACACGATTGGCTTTTGTGGAAGATTTCCTTCGCAGCTTTCGTGCGCTCGACGGGGCCTCTACGGGGGCGCGTTAAGAGGTACAACCTCAGCAGTGGTCGCCTTACAGCACGGAGGTGCCGACGGTCGGCGGGGGGATGCGGATCTCTGAAAACGGCAGTCAGACGTCGCATGTCGTGGCAATTCTTTGAGGGTGTGGGCGTGAGGGCAAAGCTGTTGAAACAGCCTGTTGCAGTTGATGCAATCAGATTTCATTGCGACATTCACATCAAGCCATGTCAAGTTTACACAGTTTGCCAGCATGTTTGGTGTGTTTTTTTTAAATAATGTTGGTGTTTGATGTGTCCGGTCTGGGATTGATAAGCAATCGCTTCTGTGGTTGACCGTGGACCTGTTGATCTGGTAATAGGTATGAAGGACGATTCAAAACATGCATTGCTTGGGTCTGTCCGTTCTTACCTGTAACAGTCAGTGAGCAAGCAAATCACTATTTTGAAGAGTCAGCCTGCAACTGAACCATCATCCACTGAAACCTGGTAATTAATATAGACAGACCCAATGCATTACTGTTGATGTGCGGAAGTGATTCCCAGATATTCCCAGGTCCTTTCCCTTTGGGGCAATCGACCAACACATCGACATATATGGGCTTAGATGGGGCCCTTTAGCCACATGTCCGTTGAGTCATACCGATCAACGACATTCAACGACAGGATTTGTTGAATTTGTTGCAGGTCCGGTGTTTCTTCATCTAGGATGGTTTTGACCTTACTCTCACAACGAAAAACGATATTGCGCAAGATTGCTCGAGCGAGCCAGGTGCAGTACCACTTGACAGCATCATGGAAGGCGATGCAGATCGAGGAGGGCCTTTCCATGTAGCGGCCGGGTGTTCCACATGGCCACATGGCCCTCGGAGGTCTTTGGTTCAATTGGGTTTGTCATTTGATATGGGGACCTCCCTGCCCCAAGGGAGTTAGTTTGTGTTTGACGTCCCCAGAGGTCTTTGGATGGTAGTGGTCTCCCAATTCAATACCCAGTTTGACCTCCTAGCACAATGGGTAGTGGTGAATCAGTGGACTCAGTGGACTCCACTGATTTCATTCGGTCATTCCTGAGTTTTGATGCACGTGGTGAACGGATGTGAACGGGACATCGTGGCGAATCGTAGCTGGGTTGCATCATCGTTTTGTTGCACGGCTCTCAAGGATTGGAGCGTTGGAGACTTCCAGTTCCATTAGATGTACCAACGGGCCTCGCTTCTCCAGTCGTATCAACTGGAAAGTCGTATCAACCAATTAGTTACCCTGCGCTTCTATTGTGCTTGAATTTCGTTAGACGTGGAGATATGGGTCATTCCTCTTATAATTCTAGACCTCAATGAAAGGAAGGGCAGAAGTTGCTGAATCCTTCAAGACAACGTTTGGATCCTGAGACCGGGCAGGATCTCCCGAGTTCGCCGGCCCGTGGCCCGTCGTGAGCTCGCCAGGACCGACAAGAAGGCCTCTTGCTGGATCTCTCGGTCTTCACTGATCCGCCCCAGCCATACCAGGCGCTGAGACAACGACGCACGTACCAGGGGGCACCATGCATGCATTTCGGACGTTGTTCTTTTTGGGGGGGGATGGAGGATGGAAGGAAGGGAAGGGACAGGAAAGGAAGTCACAGCTTGGAGTGGACAGGTGGCCTTGGATCCCCGATTGTTTGATGCTCATCTCGCTGAAGCAGGTGAATCCAGTTCATCTTAATCTCGGGCCTGTCCTGAGCCTCACAGCATGAAGGAGTCTGATCAATTCGTTCAAAGTTTTGGGTCGAGGGTTTGGACATAGACATCATAGACCTGAATAGAGCATGGCCCAGTATGGCATGATGGGCACAAAGCTGTTTGGGCACACAAGCTTGATGAGTTCCTCCACAAGGCCCACGTCCCACCTCCGGAACGAGTCAGACGAGCATCATTCCTCATGAGAACGGAATGCAGCCACTGGTATGGGCTCTGATCGAAGGAATGACAGATCCCATATGTCTCGTTGCACCCCGTGAGCGCCGCTGTCGCAGTGAGTATGTATGAGGCCAAGTTCATTTGGGGAGCCGAGAGCTTTCAGGTCGTCGGCTAGTGGCTGGCTTAGATGCACTGGAGCAAGGCATGCCGTGGCGCAGCATATGAATAAGTGGACTTTGCGTCCACCTAGCGGTCTGGCAAAGCATCACTTGGAGGGTTGAGCGTGGCATTGCATCTCAATGCTCAAGAACGGGTGAACTCTCAGCTTCTTCTAGCCAGAATGGCCGTCAAGAGCTCCCCTCCAACAAGGGGGTTGTGAAGTTTCTTGTAGACAGCCGCTGCCAACTTGTTTAGATTGGCCTTTTACCCTCCTAGCATGTTCCTCTACAAAATTGATGAGAGTACCATCACAAAGCGAGGATTTTGCCAGAGAGAGTGGTCCGTGTTAGGTGTGGTGTGAGACATTGGATCATAGATAAAAGAGGAAAATTCGATCATCAGTTCTATGGTTGTGGGACATTGGGTTTTGCACTCTTATCATCGAGCATCAGCATGACCAAGCAATAGCTAGAAAACATTGCTGGCGATGAAAATTGCTTTGCGGCTTTGCCGCCACTGGAGTTGTGGCATGTTGTGGGTAGGAAATGAGTGAAATGGAGTGGATATCGGATTTAGTCATATATTATCTAGTCTTTTTTTTGTGACACATGTGATGGGTATTATGCCCAATCATGTTGAAGTGCTACGGGTCTGTACCGGTACTGGAACCCAAAGCACCTGTTCTCAACCCAAAACAGTTTTTCCCATAGAGGCTCTATTCACCTACAGTAATTGAACAAAATGTTCGGGAAACACCCTGTGCCCTGCGATTCTATACAGTCTGCATTTATGTGGCAGGCTGTGAATTGCTTGGAAGATCTTGGAAACCAATCTATAGAAATCATATTTGTTTGCTTTCTTGCGGCCACCAAATTAACAGAGAGGTTACACAGGACCATGTCATTTTGAATCTCACATGCAATAATTGATTGTACGTGGAAATGCGGATTTTCTTCCTGTCAGCCACTCAAGACCCTGAGTGGCTGAGTGGCTCACACGAAGAAAGCCTGAGTGGCTGAGTGGCTGACAGGAACAAAATCCTGAGTGGTTGAGTGGCTGAGTGGCTGATTGGAAGAAACGTCTGAGTGGCTGAGTGGCTGACGGGAAGAAATGCCTGAGTGGCTGGCGTGGAGTAGTGGTTGTAGTCGAAGTATTATTGGAAGTATCTGATCCTTACTTGTAGAGTTGGGCAGCTGTTCTATTGGAGTCAAAGCCGACGCAAAGACTGAAGTCTGTCTCCTTTGGCTAAACACCCTCTCGCTCTAACAGTCATATATACACAAATGTTTGCCCCTATTTCCGACCCAATGCGTACAAAAGCCGGAGGTCAACTTTACCCTCCAGATTTGCCATGACAAGAAGCCAGCTATTTCATCAAGACACTCTATTCCTTATAGTTTTGTCGAATGATTACCCTGCACTACCGACGCCCTAGTGCATTTACAGTCCCTGTGACGCCAAAGATGTTAACCCCTATTTCCAACCCAATGCGTACAAAAGCGGGGGTTAAATTTATCAACCAGATTTACTATGACTATAAACCAGCTATTTCATCCAGGCACTCTATTCCTTGTATGTTCGTGCTTAAGTATGTGAGTGTCTGCTAACATATCCAGGTGGATGTTAGGATGTATGGTTGTTCCAGGCACTGCGCACACGACACGTGAGGGCTCCGTAGCTCTATGTTTGCGCTTGCGCTTTGCAGCCAAAGCCTTGCCGATCCTCATTGCGCAACAGAGCTGCTGACAACTGTTACTTTACATCCCAAGAACAATAGGCCCCGTGCTCCAAGGAGCAATCAGCCCATTGCTGTTTATGAAGCATGCGCGCCACCATCATTAGTGTGCTGCAGCTCACTTGCCGACTGATTTCGTGCCCGCTGCGAATGGTAGTGGAACAGCAGCAGGATCCGTTTCAGAAACGGAGGATTTCCACAGTCAATTCTGTTTTCAATACTATACTTTGCACCTCTAAACCTGGCTGAGTGCCATGGAAACCAGCTCGAACCCTGGCTTTCCGTGTGGGTACACGAGCTCAACGACTGCTGCACGGAAACAAACACCTCCGGTGCGCTTTGGCTAGCTTTCGACGTCCTCCCGCGTCAAGTACTCCTACTACTACTGCTACTGCTGTGGCTTCTGCTACTGCCACTATACTACTGCTCCTACTACTACTACTACGACGGCGACTACTACTACTACTACTACTACTACTACGACTACCACTACCACTACCACTTCCACTACTCGGACCACTCCTACTACTAATAATAGAACTACTGCTACAACAACAACAACAACTACTACTACTACTACTACTACTACTACGACTACTACTACTACTACTATTTCTACTACTACTACTACTACTACTACTGCTACTACTACTACTACTACCTCCACCCGGCCACTCGACACCAGCCACTCAGCTACTCAGGTTTTCTTCCTGTCAGCCACTCAGGTTTTTCTTCCAACCAGCCACTCAACCACTGAGCCACTCAGACTTGTGCTCCTGTCAGTCAGCCACTCGGCCACTTAGGTTTTTCTTCCAATCAGCCACTCAACCACTCAGACTTTTCTTCCTGTCAGCCACTCAGCCACTCAGGATTTTGCTTCTGTCAGCCACTCAGCCACTCAGGACCTTGAGTGGCTGAGTGGCCGGTCAGGATCTTGAGTGGCTGAGTGGCTTAGTTGCCGCCGTGAACCGCGACCCGGATTGCACAGACTTATAGTTTATCCTTATAAAATCGTTATGCCCAAGCCACCGGCACCCTCTTAATTCCAACGAAAATGATGTTTTAAAAAGTTTTCGCAGACGAGGTCCATGAAGGGGTTGGCTATCCTGTTCGAGCCAGGTTTGGAAAGCTAACCCTGTGGAAGTCACCAACAAGAACGAGCCGGAACTCCTGGGACATTTGGCCATTGCTGGGTACACCAAGGCCGCAGTGGTTTTGCGGGATTTGACATCTAGTTTTGGAGCCTTTGGTAGTAATAATTCCAAAGTATAACAAGGAAATTCATATGACATTGCCTGACATTGCACTTCGTGATGCAGTATGTTTGGTCAGTCCCTTTAGCACTGTGATAAGTCATTGAAACACTAGTCGCAACATGGTCTAACGAACTCTATGGCTATGGGCATGGACGCACTTGATTCACTGCATTCAAGTTAATCTGAATGTCAACATGCCCTCGCAAACAACAATGTCAGATTTGCGGGGAGTTTGACTATGGTGTGCATGGTTTTAGTAGTCATGAGTGCCGGGCTGCACATCACCGGACTTCACAGTGCCACCTGCTCCTGCATTAATATTAGCTGCATATAGAGCCTCCTCTCACAACATGAATTTTAAAGAACAATACCAGTTGCAAGGTGCGGTCTCGGATCTTCCCCCTTCAACTCCAAAACTCCTGCCCGACCGGTGGCTTGTCAACGAGCAACGACAGGCCCTGTGGGATCTGCCCAAAGACCAATTGCCTCCCACAGCCTCGGCCAAACACGGGAAGGCCACGCGTCGGGCGGGGCGTCCACAGAAGCGACGTGGTGTGAGCTGCATGTCCAAACGGCTGAGAACGCAACCAACTGGAGAGAGGTGGGTGTGTTTCTGATGTGTTCTGCCGGTTGGATTTGTTTCGCCTCATTTCTTCACGGTAATTATTTTGATGTATTTTGTATTGCATCCAAAATACTAACAGCTTCAAAAGGCCGATCCCAATGTCGAGTACTGTTAGGATGGTTTGAGTCCCCACCCAGTCTTGTTCTTTGTGTTGAAATCATCCCAGGATAAATCTGAGAATTGAAACCCTGCAGTCCGTCATCAGCTTCTCCAACCATCGCCAATCAAATTGTCCCAAATGACATGAAGAAACGGTTTCTTGGAGGTGTCGTGGCCACTGTCCTAGGGGCCTGGATCGTACCTGGTGGCTCTTTGGACCGGCACCTGGAAGGTTGTTTCCAAATGGATCGGATCCGCCCAGGTGATTGCTGGCTTTTATCAGGCACGCCCTGTGGTTCGACGGAGCGAGTCCTTCGAAAGGACGGCATGGACCATCCACCCATATCACATCGGATGACCATGTCACGAACAGACCAACTTGTCGGTGGTGAACTCCGTGAAAAGCATGAGGATTTCGCCCACAGCACCGGATGTGTATACAAGTATTTTTGTTGAATCCTCCTAGCAATTTTCCCTAAAGAATCAGAGAGCTCGGGTGTTCCAGAAACAGGCCATTCTTTAGTAGATTAGGCTGGTTGATGAGGTTCACTTGCAATTGATTTTGAATTGTAAGCCACACCACATGCTCGCATCCTTCAGCCTGGAGATCAATGCCAATGGCATCCAATGGCAATGCCTTTTTCAAAACTGAGCATGTCATAACAACACAATGTTCAATGATGATCACTCTTCAACACTTTCCCTATTTTTCCCTCATCTCAAGCTTTTGAGATGTTGCAGTTACAAACTACGAGACCTGATAGACTTTTGAGATTGTTGGATGTTGTTGGATGTGAAGCGAAACTATTCAGCATCAAGTTTGAACATGGTTGAACCTATTTTGTATTAGATGGTAGAGTGCCGTGATCATGATAAATCCCTTTGGTTACAATCCTTCTGGAACAGTCATCATCATGGACTGGTACGTGTGTGGGGTGGGCGTTCCCATTCTTTAGGGGAGTCCAGGGTTCCAAGGAGGTATGTGCACAGTTCTCAACGTGCTCTGATTTAAGTCCAGTGCCCAGTATGTGCTGGCAGATTGCTGATTCTTTAAGCTACAATGGTATGGACCATCTGGATTCAGGATCCTTTAAGGTGGCATCTGGCAGTGGCACCGGTGGATTCCTAAAGAATCAGACAGCCCAGGCCAGTGGCCGAATTCCAAGGATTTTTTTAAAGATGTGTTTAGATAGCCCTGACAAGTTCCTCTAAGAACATCATGATACTCGGGTATCCACCCAAAGTTGTAAGGGGAATGTATTTCGAGCGTGTTCGATGGGTTCAGCTTAATCGCCTCCGGACAAGCCTGTTTTCAGGCCCGGACAAGTGGATACGTCTCGACACTAATGGGATGTCCCGCAGACAGACCGGACTGGCAGCATTTGATGTGTAGTGAGAAAACAAAGACACCAAAGAACAGGTAAAAAATGGTCACATCGGGTGCTAAACCAAATTCATTTGACATCCTGAAAAGAACTTGGCGACCATCCTTTGCACTCGGCTGCGGCTGGGAAATAGCGAGGGACATGGCGAGGTGTCGTATCACGCGCCCTTCGGCAGCGAAGCACGCGCCAGGTGTTCAAAGATCACGTTCCGCACCTGGAGGCTGTGGACATGGGGAGGAGGTGCTGGTGGCCGGTGGCCGTGGGTCCCGTGGGTGTTCGAAGTCTGGGTGGGTTAGAATAGCAATCCACAGCCGCAAGATCCATGGAGCTTCAGATCCCTTCCTTTTGGACCGGGGCTTTGATGGGAGATGTAAGTTGCAGAGTCAGATTTGTTTGTACCCTTCGGCCTTTGCAACTGCGGTCGCTGCCAAAGAAGTGGCAACATGTGGCAACCATTCAATCCAGTTTTGGAACTATTGGGTGCACTTGGTGACAAGATATGTAGCTAACTTCTTCAACAAGTGAATGTGTATAAACTGATAAGTTCTCACAATTTCGCTGTGTTTGTTGAGAGGTATACGACATTACAATAAGTCCACTGACTGACACACGGCAGATGCACAAGGAGCACAGAGCAACTACCTAGATTAGGCCAGCTTACAAATCCGTCACTCACACCTTTCAACAAAACGATATTGATATGTCTTTTGCTAGAGAACCGTGGGTCCTCCAGACACGTCCTATAAAGAGATTTTGGGGGCTGCACTGCCCTACCACTGCCTGCCCACTGTCCATATCTGAACCAGCTTCCACGACCCTCCCCTCGTGTCGCGCGCTCAAAACCCGACCTTCATCGACCTTGCCAGGCCCTTCAGCAGTACCTCACAGACCCCAACAGCCCCACGTGCTCTTTGACGTTTCCGCCCCGCCGCCCGGGGAACCCAGAGAACGGTGCTGGACGTGCTGGGCGTGCTGGGTGGGGAATCGGTGACATTGGTGGCAGTTCCTTCGGGTAGCTGAGATTAATGGCAGGTGTGGTGGATGACTGGCAAGAAATCCTGAAGAGTTGTTCCCACATCTGCAGAGTGGCGGGCTTTTCGGGGCGTTGCCAGTGTTGAACATCAACAGTATGTAATGGCGTACGAAAGAAGATGCCCTGAATTTACGTGTGCTTCTGGACTCGATTGAGAGGCCTTTCCAACGCCTGTACTACTGCGCAGAGCACAGGGGGAAGGAAAATGGTCTTCGGGGACGTGTGCTCTTTGGCGCCATAACTACCAAATCCAAGTATTTCTTCCTCAATCCTTGTTGGAGGCAATGCCTTACTTCAATATATACTCGATACAGGTTTGAAGCATCTACTGCGCAACACCACCCCAGTTCTTCAGTGGTTGTTGGATTTGTTCTTGTTCAAGTCCAAGTCATTGCTTTTTTTGGTCCCGTCCGTTGAGTCCACTCTTCGTCTCCCGAACCGCAGGACGAGTGGCTCGGGGCCTCGGAGAAGACCTCCGCTGACGCGGTGAGACAAGGGAGTGGGAGTGCAGTGCACTCAACGATATGCGGAACAAAAGAGATGAAACAGCTTCGAAAACCAACAGAACAAACCAAAAGAACTCAGTTAATAAGACTCATCTCATCTCATCACCTATCATTGACAGTGTGCTAGCAGTCTTTGACATTCTTTGACCACAGGTAGCCTGAAAGGTCAAACAAAAGCTCGACAGGGTCTCTGGTTTGGTTGTTCATGGTGAACCGTCCTCCGTGTCTCAGGTCCTTCTGATCGAGGCCTTGGACCGATGGGTCGGGGCTGGTGTTTTGGAGCTGCATTTTCCAACAGATGTCTCAGGTCTCTTTGAAGCAGCCAAGTGATTCTGCTCCATCAAGCACAAAGCAGACATCAAAGTGTCTCCATACATTTTGACTGTTAGGATATCTCTGGAGCTTCACTCCAAAGCTCCATTCCCTTGACTTTAAGGTCAGTTTTTTTGCAGTGAATCTACAGCTGCACTTCCTCACTTCCTCCCACCTTTTGATTTTCCAAACATGCTCCAGGTAAGAGGGATCTTCTCCGTTCGGCATCGCAGCTACGGACCGGCCCCCGCGTGTCCTCGTTTTCGTCGGATGTCGATCTGGCCGTGCCCGATCCGGCGGAGGTGGAGCGGCCCGACTTCCTCTTCAGCAATGTGGACCGCTTCCGGAAACGGAAAGCCCCACCGAGGCCCAAGGCACGTGGAACAGGGACCCGCGCGGCAGTCGGATCCAGCGACATCGGAGCTGCTCAAGTTGAATGGAAGTATACACAAATGTTTTTGGGGGTCTGATTTCCTTTTTGGGGGGGTGAGGGCTTAATATGGGATATGGGATATGATGAGAGGATGTTTAAAGGTTTCTAGATGTCACGTGATTGTGTCACTCATGCAGTAATTTGCGTTACAGTAAATTACTTAAATGAGAAGAGCTTGATTCCATTGAGTTCTGTGGCAAGCACTTTGATTGAGTAGATCAATCTCTTTCAAGTGAAGCTTCTTCCCTCAGTGGGTGAACATGTGAAAAAAGTGCTTGGAATTGGTTGCATGATGTTGCATGGTGGTAGATGCATCCAGCTGATTGGACGAATGCACGAGAACCAGCTTCATCGGCCTCACATTTGCCCAGCTTCATCGGCCTCCATGCAGGTGGAAGTTGAAGGTGATTCCATTCCTCCGGGCGAGGCGTGAACCAGCCGCACTACCGGACAAGAGATTAAAGACATGTATTGAATAGTTGCTTGGATCATGGAAGCAGACTATGGCCCAAAGATATTATGTTTCTGTCCACATTTGGCAGATTGTTGGATGAATGTAGATGAAAACCCAGTGGTTGAAGGATAAAGTTAAAGCATTGGGCTCTCAAAGGGGGGGGCATGACTTTCTGTGAGATGTTACCCTTGTTTTCTTCCAGTGGCGATGATCTGATTCTCCATACTTATGGGCTGTGGAGGTATTCATGAAAATTCATTTTCGGAACGTGTTGTTGGAGGCCATTGCTATTAGGTTGGAGGCCATTGCTAGTAGGTTGGAGGCCATTGCTATTAGGTTGGAGGCCATTGCTAGTAGGTTGTAGGCCATCGCTGTTGGGTTGGAGGCCATTGCTAGTAGGTTGGAGGCCATCGTTGTTGGGTTGGAGGCCATTGCTAGTAGGTTGGAGGCCATCGCTGTTGGGTTGGAGGCCATTGCTACTGTAGTAGGTTGGAGGCCATCGCTGTTGGGTTGGAGGCCATCGCTATGTGTACTAAAATTCATGTGGTGTCTTTCACCATTTTTTTCTGCAGCAAATTCCGTCGTCATGGCACGTCATGGCACCGGGACATGAATTCAGACATCTCACTGCAGTCACCCCCTGGCCTCGCTTTGCCACGCCTGTCTTCCAATCAGGCTGTCTTCCAGTGGTGGTCTTTTGCTCAGAGAATGACTGAAGACGACGATGTCAATCGCAATTCTGGTGCGCAATGTCAGCGCTTGCTTGGACAGTAGATATTCAGCTTCAGCTCGACTTTAGCGAATTAATTCTTTGGAGATCTTTGGAGTGCTTCTTCTTAGTCAAAAGATATTGCAGGCTTAGTCAGGTTGTGGAGTTTTGTGTGGGATTGTATCAGCTGGTGTGGTTTTCTTTCATTCACATCCTCCAAACGCGTGGTGGCCACTTCACCACCATGAGCGGAAGATCAGTATGAGAAAGCAAGTACAAGCCCAGACAAGATGTACGGTATCCAGTGGAGTGGGCTGGCGGTGTTTCCTAGCCAGCCAACGGTTCACCTATTCAGTTGATGTTTAGTGATGAGTTTTATTTCTATTTTTTTTGGAGGAAACCACTCCGGAAGTGACCTATATATCACACATGAACCGTAGTTTTCTCTACAAAGCACATGTGTATACAAAACATTCCTTTTTTGAATATAGAGTGGTGAAGCAGGTGGCTGTGGAAGAGCGTCCAAAACGGACGGAAGCAGCGCATCGACACCGAGTTTCTGAGGTGGGGTGATCCGCATCCAGGAGGTTCTGGCCATTGGAAGCTGGGAAGCCCAGCCCACCCATGGCAGCGGGAAGTAGAGATGGGCAGCAGGAAGTAGGGGAGATTTTTTCGATGAGCTTCAGAGACATCTTGGCCCGGGGCCCCCAAGATGTCCCCCAAGATGTCCTTTAGATTTGGGATCCATAGAAACCATCGACCTTGGGGATTGTGCTTTACTCTGTCAGGATTTGTAAGGTTACATGTTTCAAGGCTAGATCGATGCGGTCGTTCAATGCTACCCGCGGTCCTCCTTGTGGCAGAAGTAGCTCTTAGTGGTTATTAGAGTTCTTAGTAGCACTTCTCTAAAGGTGTTACCAATTGAAAACGAACACAATTCACTAGCATGTTTAAGTGTTTTCTTTTTTGTTCGTTTTTTCGCTGGCGAGTGTGTTGCTTTGGGCCAGGAACTACCACCCACATGTGAGTGCAAGGCTTGAAGAGGACGAACTCATGACAAAGGTGGAAGATTGCAAGGAATGATCCATCATGCTTTGCACATGATATGTTTCCAATGAGTCTTGCGGTTTGTCAATCTTTGTTGGAAGTGACTTAGTGCTGTATGGCCCATATGGCTATGACATTTTGCTTACCAAATCTCGCAATTGCTGTGACCGTCGCGGCTGGGTGCCGCCAGCTCAAGTGGGTATAGCGACCCAATAGGGAGACCGACACCAGACGTCCTGACCCTTTGGAAGAAGGAAACCAGACCGATCTACCAAGCCAGGGCCAGGGTGTCTCCCCAATAAAGAACCACACCCAACTCGCAGGAGCTTGCAAGGAATGAGAACTTTCGCACTTGTCGAGAAGCAGTGGGGTGTCCAAGAGAACCAGCACTGAATGGAATGTGTGGCTTGTTGAATGACCAGGCCGAAAAGCTTGTTGAGGTCATTCAAGGAGTTACTAGGAGTGGCTTTGCACAACCAACATCCCAACCAGGTGCCCATCGATGAAGTCAGATACTGCCTTCAGCGCGTCTTGCTGGCCGGTTTAGACTCAGTTCCCTGCGCCATCGTGACCAACGCACCGTAACGCACATCGTAACCGACGCCGAAGTCCTGCGCCAGATCTCCAAGGAGGTTCCTTTCGACTTCTGCGGTTGGGAGACCAAGAGTCCAAGAGCATTGCAGAGCAAATTTGCTTGGCGGAGTGTAGTTATTATAATGCTTTCTACATTTTGTAACTCCACTCTCCGACGCCGACTCCTTTTTGTGTTTGTGGTTAAGGTTAGCGGTCGACGGTTTTTCCATGTTCAGAGCTGTTCTGAACAGCGAACTGCAGGCGAACAGCACCGTGGTGAGACATTCCGAGAGCAGTTTCTTCCTTCGGCGGGGATGCCCGAAGGAATCTGCAGTGGAATCTGGTTGGTTTTGTCTCCCCCACGTGGTTGGATGATTTAAGAACTCCACTGTTGGAAATCACTGGTGGTGCGGTAGTAGCTTAGTAGCAACTGATCCGTTGGTGAGTAATTTGGAAACCATTAAACAACAAAATATGATTGAGCCATATTGAGCCCATGCATATACAGCATGTTCGATGTGTTGAACAACATGATGATCCCATGACACTAACACATCATTAGGTAGGACAATTGCGTCCATGGAGTTCTCCATTCCACCTATAAATAAAGCAAAAATCGACCACGACCCATTGGTTGGCGATAGCCGTCCCTCATTGAAAACGTCCTTCTTCCTTCCCATCATCGCATCATCGAACGTCCGCCGGAACCTCCTCCGATCGCGCCATCGAACGGCTCGGTCGCTGGCAGAGCCGCGTCACGGTGAACCATCCGCACTTCGACGACGAGTCGCGCTTCACGCAGAACTGCTTCGTGCAGTTCCAACGAGCCGGGGATCCCAAAAAAGGGAGCCCTAGACTCTTGACAACTCTTGACTTTGTAAAATGGGATTGTAAAACCATGTAAAACTGTAAAACCGTTCTTTCATATACATATATATATATATGTGTGTTTTTTCAATCAATCAAGAATCTATATAGTATAGATCATTTCTATGTTATTTTGCTTCATTCGCCCAAGAGCAATTGCTCCATTTACACAAGGGCGAACCATGGAGCTTTGGGCCGAAAGACTGCTCCGTGCGCCGTGCGCCGTACCGAGGGCAACCCCCGGCGCCGACGGCCAGTCCGGAGGGTGCGCCGGGGCGAGGCCGGAGCCATGGAGTGGAACGAATGAGAGGTGCAATGGAGCATCAATTTGACCATTGTATGATATATATATATATTATATTATAGTTTATTGCGTAATATGAATTATGAATATATCACACATGAAATTGTGGGATATTTCTTTATATACTAGATTTGGATAGATTTGGCCACCCTACTGTATGACCTTCATTCACCGGAACCCTTCCCCGCCCTTTTGGAGTCCATGACCACCAAAACCATGGGAGTCGGACCTCAGCCGTTTGATGCGTGTGACCTCCGGAGCTCCGACCGACCAGGTTGCAGGCCTGGATCTCAAAACGGGGTCGGCCTGTAGCATTTGCTTCTCCGCCGGGCTCTCCAGCTGGGCATGGACAGCTTTGTTGGGCAGCTTATCTAGATATCTAGACACACCAGGTGAATTGAGCATGCCTTTGAAGCAATGATGCATAGTGGGAGTGGATTTGTTCGATTTTTCTTGCGGCTCCATTGTCATAAAACATTGATTCAAGAGCAAACCAGCATGCTATTTTTGAGTGTATATAACAAGTTTTTACAAGTAACAAGACATCTACTTGCAAGTCACCAGGGGTGATGTGAGGGATCGAACGATCGTTCCGCCAAAGTGGGGACACACCCACAAAGTACAGTCTCAAGTCACGGAACCATGGGTTTTCAACGCCATCCCAAGCCACACCATGGTTTTTCCATGCCATGCCGATGAAGCCATGCGCATTGAAAGGTGAACGCACCATATGTATCCCAAATAACAATAGACAGCCTCACATCTCAACAACACCCAGAACGGCACACTTAGGATTCAGGTTTGGCACTTAATATTGCCTGATCTTTCACAGGGGCTAGTTTTTTGCATGGAGCCTCATGCTGAGGATGATGGCTTCCTCATTGGATGTGGAAAGAATCATGTGCTTTGCAGAGGTGAGGCCACCGGTCTTTTCTCGTTTTTGTGGCTCCTCAACGGACGAATCATGACACTCCAGTCAGACTGGTTGGTCTGGTTGGTCGAAGGTCTTCAAGGTTCATGTTCCTACCTTCTGAGGATGTAAAGTTGGATTCATACGGGATATGTCTGTTGTTTTCACCCGGGAACTGGCAGAATGCTGTGATTAGTTACATCATGGGGCATCCTGATTTCGCACTGCACTGAAGATCCTGCCAAAAGCATCCCTTTGTATCCCTTGAACTCCATGTTTGAAGAGCCTGCGGCCCAAATCCCTGGTTTTGTGCCGGGGACCCAAAGTCAGAATGCCCTACAATCCCCAAGTTAGGAGGCTGGGCTTAGATGACACCAACCCCAAATCATCAACCAATTTCATCAACTGGTGTTTGTGTCATCTACTCTGGAACCAATGGTATCAGATCATCTCGTCCAAAGCCAGGCTGCCGCTGGGCGGGTTTGCGCACCGTGGTCGGGGACGTCACCCAGACGGAGGACCCGGGACGTTGGCGGGGTTTCACGTGGTATGAAGCGGATATGTTGGGGCGTGCGGGGCATGTGGAGGATCTTAGAGAAAGGACTGCTCGGATGTGGTGGGACTCCTGCAGTTTGGAATCCTTCAAAGTGTTCTTCTGGAGGCTTTGGAGATGTTGGCAGTTCGTGCTGCCTCACTTGGGTGACCTGGAGATTCCCAAGGGCCCAAGGGATGTTGAGAGTTCCTATAGCCCATCTACGGCCCCCTTCCACTTGGGATCGGCACGATGTTCGGACTCCACAGATCGGTGCGCAGCCTCCAGAGATGGGGAGACCTCCCGGTTCAAGAACGTCCGAAAACCCGGGGATGCAACTTGGAGGTCTCCAAATGTCATGCACATCATTCGCAACATCTCCAATGCATTCCGTTGGTACTTGACGGCTGTCCGTCTGCTTGTCGAGGAAAGAACAGGGTACTCTTTAATGAGGAAACAACCTTATGCAAAAACCCGTCGTTCACTTCAAACCACCCAAATCTTCACTGAAAAAAGACACATCATATTACACTCAAGCACCATATAAATATGTTACTGTAATTAGCATGAACTTCTTGTCATTGTTTTGCTTCATGCAGGTACGCTGCTCACTGTAACGCAAGTTGTCCGTTGGCACACTTTTGGGGGCACAGAGTGCTTGAACAATCCTGTCAGAGGGCGAAACCCGGAAACGCATCATGAAGTGCCCGCAGAAGCATCAGACTGCCACTTCGCTTTGCGGCTAGAGCATGCTTTCCCCCAGAAAGGCGTCTATGTGTCTCTACAACCTTTTTGAAGAACGGCCCAGCCCTTCACCCGGAGCGGCGTCTTCTTGCCCCGGGCGCGAGAACCTCATGTGTGGATGCCTCACCATCGACGACCGCAGAGTGCTTTGGCCACTGAGAGAAGTGGAGGTATAATGCTAAATGTATGTATGAATGTAGAGCCTGGGACTCAGATGACACCTAGTTTGGGTTGGATTTTTTGAAGCATTCATGAGTATTCATGGCATTATGTGGGGCATTTGTTTTATCAAAACTGGGGTCATGTCCTTAAGTATCTTGATGTAATTAGTGAGGAACAACACCACCTGGAGTTGCGGCCTTGCTTGTTGTTTCCTGGTATGTTGGAAGATCATAGTGAGCTTGGAATCACGGGTGAGTCACAAGAAGGCCAGAGTGGTTTGATTTCTTTATCAAGCCTGGTGGGATTGACGATGTAGATGGTTGTGAGTAGGTTTATGATGGTTTATGTGTGTTTATGATGTGGTTTCTTTGTAGAATGACCATAGTGTTCCCATCGTTCTTAGTGTGACTGGCTTGACATTTCTTTGGGGGCTTTAACTACACCTTTAAAGGCAAACACATCAGAGGGTTCTTACAAACTAAGTGGGTTTGTTGATCATATTTGTTTAGAGTTCTGACAGCTTTCCAAGCACTCCGAGCAACACAAATCCAAACATTCCAAAGTGATTCCTTTCAGGCTCAACCACATCAACCCCTCCATTTCCATGCCATTGGGTGACCCCCAAAGTAGCTACTCCCTCGTAGAAAGGTGCTCCTTCTTCAAAGCATCGTTCATCGATGAAACTTCCAGAAGCATTGGTGTCACCTTTGTACCGCCGTCGCTGCGCGGAGCAGGGTCGCTCGCTTCTAGGCCTTACAAGGCTTAGCGGAAGCCGCCGACAAATCCCTCCAGGCGCGAACGCCGCGTGTACCGCGTGGTCTGAGACGGTTGGAGGACGACCGGGGGTCACGTGCCTGAAAACCGGCACGTGGTGAGGTGTCTTCTCTCCAACCTTCGAACAGGGTAGATGGTATGTACACATGGCCAACTTGGTGTGGCCAACATGGCCAACTTGGTGTACACATGGCCAAAGGAAGGCTTAGACTGCGACAAATGCAGGGTAGAAGCTGTGTCGATTCCGAATCGTTCGCTCCTTTTCGAAACAAAGGTTCTCGGACCCAAACCCGGAGAATCCAAGATGTGTCGTGTTGCTTGGTCGGTCAAAACACCCAAGAACCAACAGTATCTCCTATATAGTAATACATAGACATCATAAGCATGTATCGCCACATTTGTTGATCACTAGCACAAGAAACATCAGGAACACTTCACGGTTGTTCTTGTCAAGCTTCGGAATGGCAGTAGCTCTTCACATGGAGAGAAGCCCGGCACGTTGATTGGGGGCCGGCCGGTGTCGGCGGTCAAAGCTAACTGGTTAACTGTCAGGCACTCTTGGCCGCGCCGCCAACGGATGTTGGAGAAGAGCAGGAGAGGATGAGTGGGTCAACGGCAGGCGACGGCGATATGAATCATATCATCGCTGTAGAGTAGATCATTGAAAGTACACCTTTGGTGTACATCATGAGTTTTAAAACAGACAGGTTGTCAAGTTCCAAGCATTTTCATGCATTTTCACGGTCAGTGTCGCTATTTCAGAACTATTTCAATAGAGGACCACTTGTTTCAACTCAATCCATCTCAGCTTCAATGCCCGGCCAAAGCCCGATATGGTAAAAGGGAGCCTGACACAAACACCAACAAAGGGTAAAGACGACGCTGCATGTTTGCGTATATGCCTTTTGGATTTGGCATCTGAAACTAGGGAGATGCCAAGAACAGATACAAACACATACAAAAACTATTTACAAGCGCTAATGTCCATTGGCGTGGGATTCTGCGTGTTTGAATACATTAATGATACAACAGATACCTGTTTTAGGATGCCAGGCTGAACGATCAAATTGCGGATTGAGGAACATGTTGACATAGAATAGTCTGACAAATCGCTTCCCCAGTCTCGTTTTGCCGTAGAGTCCTGCAAATCAGCAGGACAAAGATGCATGAGCGTTCATGAAGTACACAAATAGATCAATTGAATCTAGCTGCTGATTTCTAGAAAGCAATTCACTACTAGTACTTGGAACGTCAGGAGTTCCAGATGGAGCTTGCACAAGCCAGTGCCTCAGTGGCTGGCAGGAACAGATGCCAAGGAGCCTTTTTCGCTGTATGAACCACCATGGTCAGGATCGTCCGAATGCCATGTCTACCACGGCGACGGCGACACACCTCCGGACCCGACAGGACCTCTCCGCGGACCGGTCAGCCCGCGAAACGAGCCGAGGTCCGGAGACAGTTCCAGGTCCGAGAGGTCCCCGGCGATATCTTTCAGCGCAAGGCGGTCATCGCTCCGTCATGTGGTTTCGGCATGTGTGAGCAAAGCACAAGCATTTGGACCAGAAAGTTGGTGGTTATTGGTTCTTGCAATGGAATCTCACAACTTTGAAGGTCATGGATTGGTACGAGATGGCTCGGCTTGGACCCCAAGTGTCCTTGTTGGAATCTGGATCGAGAGCAAGAGACTTCCCACATGGCCGATGGCCCTGCCTGTTTGGAGGATAGGCAGGCGTGCATGTCTCACAACGAGAGCACGTAGTGCCGGGAGAGGTATCGGAATCCAACACGGCGTTCAGGGAGGGATCGAGCAGTGAGAAGAGCAGAGCTGAGTTTTTAGTTTCTAGTCAATCCATTCTTGAGTCCTCCAAATTGAGATGGCAGGTACCTCTACTCCAACCATACCAAGCATTTCATACCATAGTTCACAATATTTCACAATCACACGCCTTTTCGAAGATGACAAGTAAAAGCTGCAACTAGATGTTTGACCACGATAAGGAATCCCTTATAGGATGCAAACTACATTTATCCAGGGTGACGTGAACGTTTCAGGATGTGACCTTGTTGGCCAGCAGCAATTCCCTCCCTTGCACACTCACTCATATCCCACCCATGACATGATAATGAAGCTGCCAAGATCGATTTGGTGCAACCCAGCGACTAAGGCGACGAGAGAGTGAGCATCTCTACTATGCCGGGTGAGCTCAGTGGGAAAGAGGGTCAGCGGCACATTGGATAGCATCCAGCTACAGGTCTTCAGAGTATCAGCATGTATCGGCATCTAGACTCGCCGAGTCCGGATACAGATATGAGATGGCCGCAATGCATATATGCTGCATGCAGTGGTAGAAGGTTGGTTCCCAGTTGACCCCCTGGACCGGACCCGAACTGCTTCGGGTCCGAAGAGTCCAAAGGACGCTGACCGGTCACCGAACCGGCTTGAGAAGCGGCGGAGCCACGCCGACGCGATATCTCCGGTGGTCTCGGAGTGGCAACGCCTTTTGGACATGTTGGAACCCAGAAACCACATTCCAGCTGCTTCCGGACACGGGGTCACCTGGCTGGATATCTCTACATATCTCCACACTACTTACAGGTCTCCATTGGCACCCCTTGGAAGCGCTAGGTTTGGTGTGCGACATATTATCAGAAATTTCTGAGGAAGCATTGGCAATCATTACATTTGCAATGCCCAGTGGCTGTACCATTTCAACAAACTTACACGAACATTGTGAAAGGGTCCAGTCACCCTGTGCCTCTATACTTCCCAAACCCGACCACTATGTGTGTATGAGAGAGAGAGAGAGATGCATTGGCGGGCCCTCAGGCCTGTGTCCATCCGAGCTGTGGCATGGACAATTGGATTTTAAAGACACTGGGCGGCACCTGATGGGGCGAACCCGTATGACGATGTACGTCATGTGTCGATGTACGTCATTGAACAGGATGTCACAGGCAGAGGCCATCCACTTGGCTGAATTATTGTGTTTGTCACTGTCACTGTCAATTCTACTCAGGAGAAAAAGATCCTCCTGCATGGGTGGACCACTGGAATAAGGCATGTTTATGCATGTTTCACCAGATCAATCTTGTCCTGCATTTCCAGGTTTGGTATTTTGTAGAGGTACTTTTTGTTGCCCACCCAGAATATGCTGATTTGCAGGTGTGTGATTCTGTAGACATGTGGTTTTGAACACGCCGGTTTGCATTTTGTAGAAAACTGGCACTTTGTAGAAAGAGTTGTACCCACACAACTGGCAGGAGTATACAATGGGAAGGATGGGGGAAGAATGACACGTGCTGAATGGTTGGTTATACAGCTACTGTAGTGCTGAAGTTGCCACTAATGACGCATGCTGGTTCTGCTAGTTTGCCCCGTTTGTCATTTTGTAGTGGTGGTATGTGACGCTTCTGGTGTCTCCCTTTCCAACATCTTGGTAGTTTCATTGTGTTGAGTTTTAACTGGCTCTACACAATGACACACTCTACATATCACTACAAAATGGATCGTCATGTTTTTATTTGCCAATTTGCATGCTATACCTGACTTGCAAACTGGCACCCTCTACGGAATGTATTACGGACTGTTTCTGTTTTTGTTCATGTTCTCTTTTTTTAATCTATATACTGTAATTGTCCCCTTCCAGAACCTTCCCATTTTGCAAAGTGTGTCCCTGACCCCAAATGCCCTTGTGCGTTGCATCTTGTAGAGACTTTGGGGAACCACTCTTCGTGTTAGTAACAAAAGAATGCTTAGCACAACCTATCGTGGCTAACTCACAGGGGGATGGAACAAATATGCAAATTTATTGTAATATAAAATATATCAAACCTGAAGCTATATAGTATATGTGAAGAGCACTTTACAGCACGATTTGAGATACAGATAGATACAGAAAGGATCATGAGAGAGTTGTTGCAGTGGATTCATCCGACGGCACCGAAACTCCAGGATTGACTTCGAGAGTGAGTGCCCTCGCTTGGCCGGGTGGTGGGAGATTGCGTTGTGGCAGATGGCAAGTGGTTTGCACCTTCAGCGTCCGACCCAAGGTCGTGCGGCCCCAGATGTGGTTCCATAAGCATATATGTCATATGACATCAATTTTGTATTATCCGTTTTTGCTATTTTCTTCCAAGTGTTTTGCTCTCGCTGAACTCTCCGCCAAACACGTAAGTGGAACGCTTCAAGAGATTGCTCCAGCAGTGAAGGATCATCGGCACTTTTGGAATAGTAGCTGATAGTTTGACATCCCATGAACTGTTGCCAAAGACATCAACACGGAGACATATCCAATCCGAGTGTTTCAGATTAAGATATCAATGTGTTGCAAGAAATTAATCTATACATAAACAAACACCAACCTTTCGAATTTGCACTATTCTCAGGTTCTTTGGTGGCCTGGGGATCGAACCCCCGGCTCGAAACTTGACGATGGACAAAAACTGGATTATATCAACTGCTCAAACGGAGGCGACTCGACGCTGCACTTGGTTCCGACGCGGCGACGGACCTCCACATCACCGTCCGACTCGTGGGCCACGTCAGCAGACACGCAGGTACCGCTCGCGGGGCCTCTATAGCTGGACCTGTCGAGCCGGACACAGGAGCTGACGAGCTGGCGAGAGAGTGGAGGATCGCAGGTACAGAGTACTTTGTATTTACCCAAACCTACCATGAGAACCCACTTCTTGGTACCAGATGGGCTTATTTTACAGTTTGCTTATTAGCCTTTTAAGGGGCGATACAGTTTGGCCCGTGCTGGACAGGAACTCAGTGTTGCCCAGCCAGAAGGAGATCAATGAGGCGAACAGGACAGCGGCACTCGTCGCAGCAGGTGCCTTTCGTCCCCCCAAAATGGAGGTGGCAGACCATAGCGGCAGACCATAGCGCGACAAGATTTCCGGTAGTTGCACAGCCAGTTTTTTTTCAGGCAGTGAGGTGGTTGAATTACTGGGTTGACCGAGCTGGAAGGAAAAATTGTTGACCACGACATCATGTGTATATACACACAACCATTCTGAATCCATTATTATTGTGAGTGTATACAAAGATCCATTTGCATTAGTTGGTGTGGTATCTGCTTAACCAGCTGCTTTTAGGTGTTAGACTGTTAGACTATCCGATCCACCAACTTTGCCTGTTGAATGCTTCATTGGCAGCCTGAACCAATCCGCCGCAGGAACATCCTGACACATCCAGAGTTCTACACTCACAGCCACCAGTCATGGAAAGGGTCCTTTTGCATTACTATCACCACGAGCATTAATGCTTGAGAGTAGTCAAGGTTGTTGGCAGTTGGGATTGGCAGGAATGTCCACGTCACCAGTCTGCTGTTTATGGCACTGTTCCACTTTCATTCTTGCTTATTTGAGTCGCTGAGTGGGAACTCTTGCAGACTTTCGAACATTCAAGTAAAACATATTGTTGTCGGATTCTTGCTCACTCTTTAACAAAGCGATGCAGGAGTCCATGACTACTGATCGAAGCGTAATTTAAGAAGGGCATCAATCAATGCTTTGGTTGCCACTGCATGCTGCATACATGACACGTACTTATTGATAGGTTTTTTTCACCCGCTCTCTCCCTCTTTGTCTCTCTTTGTATCTCTCCTTTTCATTCAGAGCTGCCTTGTTCTGCCGGCTCGTGCAAGACTTCCATTGTGAGAGAAGTCAATCCTTACAGCATCCGTGTTCAGGGATGTTTGTTAATATTAGATAAACCATGATAAACCATTAGTATTAGCATACTGTGTTTCAATACAAATCCATCCAGCTGTTGTTTTCACTCTCAGCAGGCTTTCCCTTTCTTTGTTTAGTCTAGTATAGTTTTCGTCTTCTGGTTCCATGTTCTTCGACCTCTAGACTCGAGACCTCTTTTTGTTTCATGGATGTGTGTTTTCTGTGTTCTTCCTTTGACCCTGTTCCAGACTGTTGGTTGCTGGACCAGAAAGAAGAGATGGCTCCTCCCAGGCTGTGGTCACGACTCCTTGTCCTTGCGACGCTTCCGCTTTTGCCCGGGATGTGTGCATGAAGGCAGGAGCGCTGTGGCTGGATTCCGAAGGTTGCCTGGGGATTTGTTTTGTTTGTGTTTTTGTTTTTCATGTTAGGCCAGGCATGATAGACATTTCTTTGCTTTGCAGAAGCTCAGATCCTGAACCATTGTGTACCTGCAACATTGCAAGCCAACATGGAAAACCCATGAGACGCCAAAATCTCTAAACTGAATTCCCACGGTCTACTGACCAGATGCATCAGTATAGCCCCAGGACTTCTGCAAGACTTCTCACAGGAGCATGACCGGTTTCTATAGTTTCTTGAACCCAACATGACCGGTTTCTTGAGGATTTGGCTGCCAAAGCGTCTCGGTCTTCAGAGGCCTTTTGACCTTTGCTGTGCACGACGATGGATGCAAGCAGTGGCCCGGCAGTGGGAGCGGCCACAGGCGCGAAGGAGATGGGAGCAGCAGGCGACCCTCCATGACGTTTGGTTTCAAGAAGGAAGCAAGCACTCATCTTAGGAGATGCAATGAAGAGATGCTTGAGGACATCGTTGTCCTTGTAGATGCATCTTGAGAGGGGTCAACTATAGTTTTTGGCTGCTGAGAAAGGTGTATGGGGTGGTAGTTGTAGTTGTAGTTGTAGTTGTAGTTGTAGTTGTAGTTGTAGTTGTAGTTGTAGTTGTAGT